GACGTCTAACTGTTGGAACGCCTCCATCATTTGTGAATAGGTCATCTCCCCATCTCTCGCTGTTGACCAAAAGACGTCCTCCAGGTACGTGCACAAAAGGTTAAGAGGAGGTAACAGAGGACATATTTATACAGCTCATAACATGATAGAGTGTCTATTAAAGCAATGTGGGCCGGTAACCCATAGCAACCACATTCTACTATCCATCAGTTTCTAACGTTTGGAACAAAGAATTCTGATTGGTTGCTAGGGGTTACCGACGCACTTCACTCTCCACCCAGATGGGAGCAACCTCAGCGCTTCAGTGAACTGGATTATATGATTTTTGTGCAGCAGATGAAGATCTGCGCCACCCTGCGTCTATGTGTTGGGGGCCAGGTGCATCGAAGGGTCAACAAGGCCTCCGAGTTACACTGACTCAACTAGGGTTGCCACCTTTTCTTCCAGCGAAACCCGAACACTCTAGTGACGTGAGGACATTTTTTTAGGAGAATAAGTCGTGACTTACTCATATGTAAATAGCACAGTTGAGACTATTTTCAGTGGGGGGCCAGCACCCCCTATCCTAATTTTGGTGCCCCTGTCTGCCTGACATCTTGTGTCCGGGTTTCTGCTGCCATGAAACCCGGACACAGCATTCAAAACCCGGACTGTCCGGGTGAATCCTGGACAGGTGGCAACCCTAAACTCAACTTAAGAACAGGCACAACAAGGTGATATGGCCTTGTTGAGTAAGAAGCCTCTTCTGTGCCCCTCTCTGATTCAGCTTCACTTTTTTTCCAGAAAAATTGATGGCCGAGTACCACCAACTGTCCCCCCCTCCGGCCCTGATAAGAGGCCTGTACACCGAGGCCATGTCATTGAATACTGGGATGGTGGTTGGCAGACTTTAGGCCTACAGGCAGAGGATGTCAGACCCTGGCAACCAAATCAGAGAGGAGCACAGAACCGGAATAAAGGTCAATCCGGTGATGTACGACCTTATGCACAAACCATAAAGCCTTATAATGGAGCCCAGGTCCACTTTACTGGCCAATGGTGGCTGTTAGCGACAACAAACTGCCAAATGACATATATATATATAGAGAGAGAGGGAGAGAGAGAGAGAGAGAGATGTGTGTGTGTATATGTATATATTATATATATATATACGTATATTTATATGACCATCACACCTACTATGATAAAGGATATTCATCATCCATGGTGTTAAACGCCGGTGCCGTCCTGTCTCTATGGATACCGGTTGCCTCGGTCCCTCTCTCACACTAAGGACTCATACTGATGATGTCATCATACCCGATGATCTCCATGACAGCAGCCTACCGGTTAAAACCAATAACGGCCTTTGTGCTGAACCATGTTGGCTATCAAATGAAAACCGCACACAGTGACTTCATGCAGGTCTCGTGGTGTCCCCGGGGTAACATCTGCACATCAGATAACAGACAGGTGCATGGCCGAACAATTTGTTTCTTTTTCATTTCGTTTCAGATTTTTTTTGTTTTCTGAAATTCGGATCTGTTTGATATTCGTTTTTGGAATTCAGATCTATTTGGATGGAGTTTAGTATGTTGTTAAACGTAAGAATCGATAAAAAAGCAGCGCGGGGTCCCCCCCTCCCCCGCCAAGTTCAACAAGACCCTTTAGGTCTGGTGGAAAATTTAGGGAAGAACCCATG